AGTAAATCAAGTGTAATCACATGTAGTGTAATAGTACAGTATATAAGGGGCGATGTTTTGTATGTACAGCACTGGATCTTTGCCCTAGCTAGGACAGGTCGCAACTTAGTGTTTAGTTCGTTTTAAGGCCTTGGTTCCTATGGGAACCAATGCCTTAGCTAGAGCGACATTGAGTTGGGGACTCGTCCGTTTTAAAGGCATAGATCCAGGCTTGTCACTCAATGTTCACCTTGGTGCAATGTAGCAAGTTATAAAATCTGCCTGTGGTTTAACCACTGTCTGAATTGGGATTGTTGGATTTATGGAAATGTCGGATTAAGGGATTGTCGGAATTATGGTCTTGTCAGAGTTATGGTCTTGTCAGAGTTTCTGGGATATTGCCGAGTACAGTGTTTTGTGCGCCTTGGACCTATGCAGTCCTTGGGTACTTAACTCCAGAGTATGCCTTGGACCAGTGTCATTCAAGGGTACGAAGCTGTGGAAGCTTTAAATCCAACCTTTAGCGCGAAGAGAGCACTTCTTGGTTTAAGCCAAAGAGTCTCAATTCCACTAAATCCTAGCACGCTCTCTGAGGATCTCCTTGTTTTAGGGGATCTTAAGAGTAGTAGCAACCCAGCCTTGAGTATCTGTGTTCCCTGGACCTTTTTAAAGCGTCCAAAAGACCCGTTACTCGTCGGTACAAGTCTATACTTTGAACCAGGAAGAAAGGCTGTAGAGTTTGGTTAGCAGTTGTGGATTAGTGGTTATTTCCTTCGGGGATTAAGCACTGAGCTGCATTCCGCTTGTCGGATTCTAGAGCACGAGTATTTCAGTAGTAGACACCGAGCGACCCGTTCAGTGTTCTTGAAGATTTTTATCTCTCTCTCACTGGTTGAGCATTTCAAATTTTTTGTTGGAAAAATTGGTGAAAAATGGACGATTTTTTCACCCTTTTTTCACTGAAAAAGTGGGTGAAAAAAAATTTAAAACTTTTTCAGCACTTTTTTGAGTCAGAATTGAAGTGAAAAATTTGAAAGACTCTTTCAGCAAGATTAACACCAATATTTCATGCAAGTTTTGGGATGGTGAAAAATGTAAAACCTTTTTCATGACTATTTTTACTTGGAAAAAGAGTGTGAATAATCTGCAGGAAAAATGGTATAAAATTGATAATTGTTTTCACACATTTTCCAGATTTTTTTATTGGCCTTTTTTCACTGAAAAATAAGGTGAAAAAGTTATCATGTTTTTTTACCACCTTTTTCAGTGTAAATTCAAAGCCATGGGTGTTTGTATTTTGAATCTATCGGTGCCTATAGCTTGGTTCCAATCAACCTTAAACATCTTTGCAAGGATATATCAGGCAATTTACCAAATATTCGAGCCAGCAATCCATCGCTCCCTCCCTTGCTCTAATCCTGGACACTTGCTCGCAGGCTGCGGACTGCCATTTGTCGTCAAGATCTTAATTCAGTCCTCCGATTCACTGGTGGACATTGTTAGTCTGTTCATTCTGCATAGAAATCCTCCCTCCCAAAAATCTAGGTCATTTCAATATGCCTAGATGCTGGTTGGCCGAATTGACTCCCAAAATGACCCCAAGACCCATTTCACTGAGTATAGGATATTTTTGCAACTTTGTTTCTATCACTAATATCGGCTGAATTAGCCCGAATTCTCTAGCTAATTTACAAGGCAATACGTGCAGAACCCACCGAGATATAGGCAAATCCGTTGCGGACATCAGAAAATGCCCGAAACAGTAATTTTCTGATTCACACCTTCGGTACTGGCATCGGCTGTAAAAATAAACACAGTATAAGTTTTTCACTTATGTTTCCAGTCAAAAAAAGTGTGAAAAATAATGGACAATTTTCACCAATTTTTTCACTGAAAAACTTGAAATATTCAACCATTGTCAAGTGAAAGGTTACCGGTGGGAAAATCTCAATCCCTTCTCGGTAGAGATTCCTATCTGCTTCCGGGTCCATTCAATTTCAGCGATTTTTCGATCTCACAGGACCCCAGGGATTCCTATGGTGAAGACATCTAATTCATTGGCCGGGAGTAGCTTCGGGTTGTCTTCTCTCAAGCTATTGGGTACCCCAAATATTTTCCGTTTGCACTTCGAGAGAGAACAGTGTGTCCTCAACCTCGAGCAAATATCAATTCTACCCTTCATCCTTATTTGCGCAGTTGTCTTCCTATAGCTTACATCTGAAATCACATTTTATATCTTTATTTTCCGAGTATACCAGAGCGAAGCGGCGGCACATCTTGTACGCTTGTCAATTATCAATACCGGCAGTGGCTCGGACCGGTGGCACATGTATTACAACTCCGGTATCGATCACTGGGACTAGCATCAGTATCGAGCCTGAAATCGCGATTCCACGTTGCCAACACCCTGTGCTTCACCCACCATGACACCCCCTGGACCCAAGACCGTGCCCCCCGGCCACCCGCTACTCAATGCAAGACCGACAAACTCGCGGATGCGGCCACCACTTCTCTGAGCTCTCGAAGTCGGCATCGAAAGCCTCGGACTGCTCAGCGATATGACGAAGAGCGTTCCATACCTCGGCGCCATCACGGGCTGCATTCAGAAACTCATAGAAATCCGAAAGGTGTAGCTCTCTGTTGTCCCTCCGAGCATTGAGTTTCAATGTGACGTCCTGTACAGTCGATGAAAAACAACAAAGAGCGCGCGGAGGCCCTCCTGAACAGCATCTGGGATGTTTCCCGTGTGCTCGCGGTGGGTCTTCAACCCATGGATGCACAGAGCCAAAGTACTGCAGCGAATCTCCTCAAAGACGATTTGCAGAGGTATCAAATGTGAGGTGTGCCTTCCACTCATACGGCAAAACGCTAAATCCAGGCAGTGTTCTGGCCGAGACGTGTCGCATTTTGGAGGAGTGAATGAGCCAGGGCTTAGTCAAACGTCTCTGGTCCCGTCGGGATTTTCTGATCTTGCGGACGGTATAGATTTCAGAATAAACGCGTTCCGGGACGTGTTCAGTGTGAGTGCCGTATTTGAACTCAATTTTCTCAAACTTATGTTAAACACACAGGCCTCACGTCTGATCGCTCTTTCGCAGGGGCAGGATGCATGGATGCAAAGCTGTGCGTTCTCATCGACCATAGACAAATACTTGTCGATGAAAAAACCCGCAACAGGCTAGCCAAGTGGCTTAGGCCATCAGTGCACGTAGCCGATAGCCAACGCAACGCTGCGAACGCTCGCCACCCGAAAACTGGGCTGTGGCTGCTCGAGCGCCCGGAATTCAGGGAATGGATTTATGCGCCAGGCTCGTTCTTGTGGCTTCATGGAATGTGTAAGCATCAATTATTTGCATGCTGAAAGTTTAATAATTTACGCGCTCCAGCGGGATCCGGAAAGACTGTACTCAGGTACTCTTTCTTGCTTTCCCTTACCCCGTTCAGGCTCACTGTCCCCATCCTCCAGCTCAACCATTATCGACACAATTCACGCCAGGGCAGAGCACTACGCGTACTTCTACTTTGATACCAACAGCTCCGAGCAGGGGCTTCCGACCTCGGCCCTCGGCATTGTCGGTGAATAATGGTGGGAGTATTGTGGGTGAGGAGAGGAGAGGCATTGTTGGTTTGGGTGCGAGGATATTTTAGTTCACTGGCAACCAAGTAACGCCCAGGGAACGTCGTATCCATTGACATAATTCAACCTTCGGCTTCAAGTGATTCAACCCAAGTAGAATCAACCTATCATTGAACGGTGTTTGGATTTTTTTATTGAAACGACTCCACATCACTCCGGGTTCAGCTACAAGACTGCATCAGCCTGAGCCCGTCCTCCTCGTTCTCAAGATAACTCCACATCACTCAATATGGATCTGGGATCTGCATCAATATGTATCATTATGTAGCTCAATAATATTACTCACGACGCTCATTTGGCCCGGAATCTGTTTCGTGCAGCTCAATTCAACGATCATGGTGATTACGATAACAAGTGGAATATCGGCTCGGTAGTGGACGGTCCACACCTCCAAACAATGGACCACTCCCTGACTATTGTGGAGGAGTCGCCCGTTCGACTCGGGTCCGAGCCATGGAATAGGGATGTACACTTTTTCTTTTTCTCCCAGTGGTCTAAACATGCCCTAAGGTCAACACAACAAACGCCACAAGTGAATTTCTTGGAAAACTTTGAAGTCGAACCGATATTCTTGTCATGGCTTCACGTTCCAGAGTCCAAAATCAACTCCTATTTGCACATGACCTAACAACTGGATGGCTCGGTAGCGGAGGATCCACACTTTCAACCAATGTTGACCTCTATTTCGATCATTGTGGAGGATCCCCCGTTCTACTCGGGCCCGAGCCTTCTTCTTCTTCCAGCGCTAGCTTTTTCCTCCGTTTGTTATTCTACATATTGGTCATTAGATAGGTTGCGCAAAAGCCGCACGGCCGCATGCGGCTTTTTGTGCATTGTGCAAAGCCGCGTGATAAACCAAAGGATTTATGAGCAGATCCTTGGTCATTCCGATGAAATCTGAGTAAATTAGGTGCTATGCAGTACACTGAACCACTTACCTAACATAAGGTGCACCACCTTCACATCATTAATGGCTTTGCCACAGCTGCTGTGCGGCTATGACCGCAATGCTGCCCAAACAGGCCATTTTTCAACCATTTTCCACACTTCCTTCTTCCGCCTGGTGCCGGAATCAACACAAACAGCTTCAAAGCACTCTATGCAAGGTTTAGATACATCATGGATAGGGAATCAAAAGCCGCACGGTGCACAAAAAGCCGCATGCGGCCGTGCGGCTTTTGCGCAACCTATCTATTTTTCCAGTTCTCAAATATAAGGTCAACACAACACAAACTCAAATCCCATCACACGTACATGTGCTCCGTGGAAAACTTCGAATTCGAACCAGCGAGTCTATTCTTGTCATCGCTTCGCAGCTCGTTCTTGAGTCCAAAATCAATTTTATTTGCACACACAAGTTCAAGATCCAATAGAGGTAAGAATCGGCTCGGTAGTGGACGGTCCACACCTCCCAAACATATATGGCAATGATTGTGGAACTAATTTCTTTGGAGGAGCTGCCCGTTCGAATCGGGCCCGAGCCAGAAGATGGGTATCGCAGATTTTTGCTCTTCTGTTTAGTTTTTTCCTCGACCATAGTCCCTGCCCATCTCGAACTCGACCCACCACGACAGTTTCTCACACTTCCTCGAGTTGAGTTTTGTGTTCCTGTGGCGAATCAGTTCACGAGATGGGATCTATGGAGTCAACTTCTGAACAAGGTTACTATCGGCTCGGTTGTGGATGATCCATGCTTTCAAATATGTGGGCCGCCTCTCTTTGCATCATTGTGGAGGTTCCCCCGTTCGACTCCGGCCCGAGCCATGCATTTGCCTCGATTATTTTTACTCTAAATCTTTGCTTTTTCTTCTTTCTATCTTTCATTTTGCGTCGAAAAACTTCGCTCTCGGTATCTAATGCAATAGGCCTATGGCGGTCAAAATGCACATTTATTCCGCCGCAACTTCTTTTGTCATCCGCCACTTCTCGATTCTGACGCCTTTGCCGCAACTTTTAGGCCTTTTTGAGAATCCGGAAATACACCTCGATCTGCCGCAACTTTTTTTCTTTCGAGTGCTGCTGCCGCAACTTCTTTTTTTCAAATATCACAAAGTTGGCTCATTATTTCAATTGCCCTGGACATTACGGTAATGGTTTAATCTTACCAGGGGACCCACAGCAGCCAAATTGTTGAGACGAAAGCAGCACTGTCCGTAAATGGTATCCCCGAGATCACCGAGGCAGTCTCAGCCAGCTTTCTACCATTTCGGCCCTTCTAGACCATTGCTCTGTTAACCTTCTCTCGCCAAGTTATATTAGACCTATGCTACACTATCTACTGATTTGCTTAGGCAGTGTCAAAACACCAAAAATATGGGAGGGCTGAACTTGAAGGTTTGCAACTGTTGAGCCAACGTTGAGCTACCTGACAAGATTGAGGGATCCAGTGGCACCTAAAGCTGTGCTATGCAGGGAGAACGAGTGAGATTGACTGAGGTCAGACGATTTCAGGGAGGACTCAATGATTTAGAACGAACTACGGAGTTAGTCGTAGTCTGTGCTACTACACCAAGGAGACAACACAAAGCAGGACACAGAAATCAAGGATAGGTGTTAAGTGTTGGAGGTTTTTCAATGTTGCAGAATCATAAGGGACTCGCTGAGTATGAGAGGTGCAGGTGACGATGAGGTCACGTATGCTCAGGTTTGGATCAAACAGGCTCGGTGATCGGGGATGCTTGATACGGACAGCCCGGACTTCTCGGGAGTTCAAATAGGTGCATTTGACTTAGATTTGGCTATGATCAACCAGAGCAGTATGTTTGCTGATGCGAATAGATTGAATTTCCACAGAAACAAATTTTGGCACAAAAGAAAAGTTGCGGCACTCAGGACGACTTGTGCCGCAACTATTTTGGGATCGCCCAAAAAGCCTAAAAAGTGGCGGCAAACACAGGAGGCATCCGCCACCGCTTATGGATCCATAAGCGGCAAGCGCTTATGTACCGCTTATGTGCCGCTTATGTGCCGCTTATGACTTTGATTTGCTTTGTAATTCCAATTGATCTTGCCTGTGTTCGAATCTGGGTGGGTGCATTCTTTTCAAATTCAGAGATTTTTCCCGGACCAGTCTAGAAAGTGTCAAAATACACCGTGCCTCAAATTTGATAGCCCATTGGACATTCTTGAAATGTGAAAGCCCTGTCAAGAATTTGACAGGCAGACAGGTATGTACATACCTGTACCTGTAGAGAGTGAAAATCAACTTCAGGCAAAAACTCAAACCAGGCTAAGGCAAAATGATCATTCTCAGTGATAATTTTATCTGGATCCATATGCTCAGGTCTGATCAGATCTGGTCCCTGTTCTGATCTATTGGCTGAAGATAGAAGATGCCAGTAATTTGAGTGTTTTGTCATTTATTAAGTACACTGAAAGGTCAGTCTTTTAAGCATTCATAGGGTGTCAGTCCAGCTGTCTAGAGAACTGGAACAACCAGAGGGCCGCTCAAATTAGAGTGGATGTATATTGTCTTGCCCCCACAAAATATTGCTTGGGGTTTTGCTCCTTACCCACCACAAAGTAGTCAAGGTCTGACCTTGCTGGTCAGACTTACCATCACTATATACTCCTTGGTTTCGAACTATGAATGCTCAAAAGACTGACCTTTCAGTGTACTTAATAAATGACAAAACACTCAAATTACTGGCATCTTCTATCTCAAAAGACTGACCTTTCAGTGTACTTAATAAATGACAAAACACTCAAATTACTGGCATCTTCTATCTTCAGCCAATAGATCAGAACAGGGACCAGATCTGATCAGACCTGAGCATATGGATCCAGATAAAATTATCACTGAGAATGATCATTTTGCCTTAGCCTGGTTTGAGTTTTTGCCTGAAGTTGATTTTCACTCTCTACAGGTACAGGTATGTACATACCTGTCTGCCTGTCAAATTCTTGACAGGGCTTTCACATTTCAAGAATGTCCAATGGGCTATCAAATTTGAGGCACGGTATATTTTGACACTTTCTAGACTGGTCCGGGAAAAATCTCTGAATTTGAAAAGAATGCACCCACCCAGATTCGAACACAGGCAAGATCAATTGGAATTACAAAGCAAATCAAAGTCATAAGCGGCACATAAGCGGCACATAAGCGGTACATAAGCGCTTGCCGCTTATGGATCCATAAGCGGTGGCGGATGCCTCCTGTGAAAAGCTTAGAAAACTAGAAAAAAGTTGCGGAAGACAAAAACAAAGTTGCGCCAGACAAAAAAAAGTTGCGGCAGAATAAATGTGCATTTTGACCGCCATAATAGGCCTACATGTCGGTCAGAAAGGTTTCCCTCCACTATGAATTTTGACTGAGTTAAGAGATGATACTTGGATCACACAGTGCACAAAGTGGCGACGTATATTCAACATCGTAACAAGTGCAATATCGGCTCGGTAGTGGATGGTCCACGCCTCCAAATAATGGCCATCACATCGCGATCTTGAGGAGGAACCGCCCGTTCGACTCGGGCCCGAGCCATGTCTGTACCAGTATCATCTTTACTCATTTTTTGCTTTTTTCTTCCATCCCCGTCCAACTAAGACGTGTAATCTTTCGAATAGGGCTTTCCTCATTTCTCAAACAAAATTCTGCGTGGATTTCTCACACTCACCCCGTAGTCGGGCCGAGACCCGACAATTGAACCACGAGGCAAATTCAACATCCAGCCCCAGTGGATATCGGCTCGGTTGTGGATGGTCTACACTTCTCAGCAGTAGTATTCCAACGAAATGCAAATAAATTGATCTCGAGGAAGCGTAGTCTCTTATAAACAGACGCTACAACAATTTTGAGCTCGTACCTAGCTTTGTTGTAGTCTGTCAATTACCCGTGATCCGCGATCGGAGGTCAAGGTTATTATATAATCAAAAAAATTGCGGATGTCGAGAAGGCTTTCAGAATGTGTCTTTCCACAGTTTCGAGTAAGATTCGACTTCAGTGATCCAATTTGGGTCTCTTCTCCTGCGAAGTCTCAGCGGCAAACGCCAAAACGAAGATGCCGAGTTTTGATGGCTCGGCTGCTTACCGAGCAGCTTTTTCGTCCCAGCTCCAAAATGGACAGGATCATCCATTCTGAGGAGACGGATGTCTTCAGAGTACAAATTTAACTCATTTTGCGTCCAAAATTATCATGGTGAGGGCGTTGGAAGTGTTGCAAAGCCTTGGGGTAAATTCAAACTCCGATGTTTATGTAATAACCGCGACCTCCATACACCTGTCACCGGGTAAACTACAGACTAGAAGAAGCGCCCGTTCGACTCTGGCCCCACCCGTATCTTTCAAAAGTATCCCTCTTTTTTTTTCCCCTTCCTGTTCTGTTCTATCATCATCTCAAGGCAAAGTCAACTGCAGTGATACAACACTTCTGTGAACCTTGTGTTATCTCGAGCTCAAGTCCGGTTTCACATATTTAGCGAATTCAATTGAACCTCGAAACGAAGTGGGCACGGCTCGGTGGTGGGCGGTCCATGCCTCCTAACAATGAAGGACTTGGTTGTATATATAATTGGTCTGGAGAACGGGCGGCCAGAGCTATATTCCGTGTTTGCTTAAACTATTTCTTTTTTTTCTTTCATCCTTGTCTAGCAAAACATCACTCTGGGTTGTATATCTGATTGATTTCTTCCAGTATTCAAATCGAAACAAACCTCTGCGTGGGTTCCTATGCCTTCAACTCACTCTCACTATGCCCTGTAGCCGATAAGTGAAAATGATTATGAGACAAACTCAACACCCCAAACAGAGCACATATCGGCTCGGTGGTGGACAGCCCAGCAGTTTGTTCCACGCTTTTGATTATTGTGGAGGATCCCCCATTCAACTCGGGCCCAAGCCATACCTTTTCCTCAATTGTTTTTACTTCTTTGTTCTTTCTTTTTCTTCCTCGACCATAGTCCCTGCGCAACTCGAACTCAACCCGCCGTTTTTGTTTCAGGATGCACACAACACCCTGAGTTGAGTTTGGCGTGGATATATTCCTGTCACAAATCAGTTCATTGACTGGTCGAGATGGGATGGGATTCATAAAGTCAACATCCCACCAGAGTGGATATCGGCTCAGTGGTGGATGGTCCACGCCTCCCAACATTCTGGAAATTGCTTTTGAAATTGGTACGGAGGAGCTGGGCTTGACCCATACTTGGAATAGTTGCCTGTTGAGCTTTTTCTTTTTTCCCAGTTGTCTAAATGGAAGGCCAACACTACAAACTCAATTCAAGTGAAATTTATGGAATTCGAAGCAAGTCTATTTTTATCATGGCCTCGCATCTGACCTCCAATGAAACGGTGCACTTGCGTGCAACTGTGGAATCCAATATCAAAAAGAGCAAGACAATGTCTGCTCAATCTAACACCAAATAATCCAGACTACTACTCAATATGCGTGTGTATGTGTGTTTGGGGAGGTAGGATTTAAAAACTTCAACCTTAATAACAAGTGGTTGTAGTTGACTTTATGGTGGCCAAACTGTTGGAATAACCGTAGTTAATTTAAACAACCCCCAAGTTGTAGTGGCAATGGAATGGAACCCACAAGACTGAGAAGTCTTGCTGAACTAAACAGCTGGTGAGGCTAGAATACTCAAAAGAGCTTTATGCCAACAAGGGGGGTGATAATTCACTGTCTATCTAGTACATTTGGTGGAGCTTTATAGTGTTACTGGCTACTGCGGGTTACAAACAATATAATAATTTAGCAAGAGAGAATGAGCATTGGTAAGTGCCCAAATAAATCGAATAGAACATCCCTACTGCCCAGCTTCAGAGAACAGAGCATCTAGCCTGCTCAGATATTGGGATTTAACCATCTGAGCAGCTGTAAAGCACTATTTCTAAGCCAGTTCTCCCTACCAAGACCATTATTAAGTTGCATGTTAGCCCAATGAACCTTATAAACCTTCTTACAGGCTGTGTTGTTACTTTCCTATGTGAAGAGTAAGTGCGCATCATGCCATTAGCCCTCTTAATCATCCATTTACAGGTGTGTTATCCTTTTTTTGTTCCCTCCTTTAAGACGTGCTGGAGCACATAACCACTTCAGGGCCAGGCTTTCCAGTTCTAAGGTGCACCCATAGTTCAACCTTTGAATCAATAGACTTCAATGGCAATTTAACTGATTCCATCAATAACTCCCTTGGTTACCTGGCATCCATATTGACACCGAACTTGCTACACAGGTTCCCTGCAGCTTGTCAGGTGAGTGCTATAGCTAGCTGAGTAAATTCCAGAGTAATACTAATAGCTCTGTTATGAGTACTGATAGAACTCCTTCACTCAATATTATTTAGAGCTTGTTTTCAATGCTTCATTGGTTTAATACTCGGTCTCAGGACAAGACTAGTAGCCTCTGTGTCTTACTTCAATTAGACTGCTCTAATGTAACTGGTAAAATCAAAGAATTTAGGCATGTTCAAAACCACGCCTTCTCACCAAAACGAAATTTTATTTGTACATAAGTTCAACATCTGATAATTGGCTCGGTGGTGGACGGTCCATGCCTCCCAGCGGTAGATAATTTTGATCCCGAAGTGGTGTGGGAGAACCACCTGTTCGACTCGGGCCCGAGCCGTAGCTTCGAAGGAGTCACTCTTTCCCCCCCCCCCTGCCATATCTGGTGCATCATCTCAAGGTCATCTGAATCAACTGCGGTGATACAATTAAACATTTATGTGAGCCTTGTGTTATCTGGAGCTTAAGGCTGGTTTCACATATTTAGCAAAGTAGGTTCAACATCGGAACGGAATAGATATCGGCTCGGTGGTGGACAGTCCAATTCTCCCAACAGTGAAGAGTGTTATCAGTGGATATCATTTGTTTAGTAGGAACAGCCCGTTCGACTCGCGCCCCAGCCATTGGAAGAAGTCAATGATTTTTTTTCCTTCTGCTTCTTTTCTTCGATTATATTCCCACTGGCCTCCGTTCCTATCATGGAACGATTGAGGCCAGAGATCAAGATGTCAACTTCTGATCATGAAGAAGGATGCTATCGGCTCGATAGTGAATGGTCGACACCTCCTCCAAATACACCTCGCCAATTTAATCCATCTCAGAAGATTACGCTCTGGCCATGCCATTTTTCATCTTCACTTTTTTATTACAAAAACCCGTATCTTTGCAGGAGTCACCCGGTTTTTCCTCCTCTCTGTTCTGTCAACATCCCGAGGCTAGACCGACTGAATCCAACAGCATGTCTAAGAGAGGATGTTTTTTTCTTGACCAAATTGGCAGTACGAGGACTCCTCTTCGCCTCCTCACCTAACCCACTGTGCCCAAGGTTGTAACAAGGTGGATATCGGCTCGGTAGTGGACGGTCCATATCCTAACACAATATGCAGAAAGCTTCCATTAGATCTGGGGATCCGCCCGTTCGACTCGGGCCCGAGCTATGCAATGCTTCTCAAGTCTTTTATTTTGCTCCTCATGTCTTGACACAATTCTTTAACTCGTGTTTTCTTTCGATCTGTGCCTATGACACATCAATTTGTGGTTGAGAACTGAGATCCGTGAAGTCAGCCCCTGAAGAAGGTAGACATAGGGCCCAAAGAGTTCATCAGAGCCAGATAATGGATGGAAAGGGGTGTACTCGAGTATATTGACATCATTACGAATACTACATTGCCATATGATAATGGGAACCAGAAACTCAGGTGGCCATCCAGCAGTAGACTCGCCATTCGCAACCCGCCGGTGGCCACCACCGGGCGCCGCAGTTGCTGGTAAGTCTTGCTTTGTTGGCGGTTATAGGGAAAGAAAACAACGGGAGGAGTGGGAGGTGGGTATGACAATGAAATCAAAATAGAAAAGACCGAGGCACGCCGAACGGGGTACGAGTACCGTAGAGGATGTAGATACCGGATAGGACGGTGTTACGCGGGCAAGAGAAGCCTGGTGGAAATGTAGTCTATGCCTGGTTCGATCATGCAGACAAGCTGCACACAGCGAACTCTCGACTATAACCCACACAACACACACAACCAACACTTCAAATAACCTTGCCTCGAGTTCGTGGGGTTTCAAGGACACAGTATATGTCCCTGTTGCAAATCTTCCTCGGAGAGCCAATCAATCTAGCAGTTGCTTCCAAGAACACTCAAAGGAGTGCCGAGGAACCACGAGAAGTTCTAGGATGAACTGGTGGGTTTGTAGTATGGGTTTCAGCTCTTAGAACTGGCATGGTTTTGTTCCGAGGAACGGTTTGTGCTTTTCAGCAGGGTAACAATCCTCGACGGTTTGCCTCAGTACTGACCAAATAGCCGGACAATGCCCGATCCCTGTGACACTTCTGTGCCCCAGTTCCAGGCAATTTCGCTATTGACCAGTCTTCGAGGCCCTCAGCCTCGGTAATTCAGTTCAATGTCTCCGAGGAGCTTTCGCTCCTTGAATTTGGGTGAGGTTCTTTCTCAATGGGACACAAGTTCAAGTTTAATCCAAAATGTGCCAATCAATTCTACCTCGAGTCTGACTCTACCCGAGGCTATGGC